GGAATCTTTCACCTCTGTCGTCTTTCTCAATCTCTTTCTTCAGGGCTTTGTAGCTCGTTCTCCTTGTAGAGGTCATTCACATCCTTTTTAAGTTTAGTACTAGGTATTTAATTTTTTTTTTGAGGCTATTGTAAATGGAATTGTTTCCATATATTCTTTCTTAATTTGTTCATTGTTGGTGTATAGAAAAACTAATGATTTTTTTAAGTTGATTTTATATCCTATCACCTTGCTGTAGCTGTACATGGTCTCTAGGAGTTTTGGGGTAGAGTTTCTTGGGACTTTAAGGTCCCAAATAGGGATATTTAAGGTCCCAAATAGGGATATTTCGACAGTTTCTTTACCTGTTTGTATTCCTTTTTATTCTTCTTCTTGCTAATTGCTTTGGCTGGAATTCCAGTCTATGTTGAATAGGTGGGGATAGTGGGCATCCTTGTCTCGTTCCTGATTTAGAGGGAAATGGTTTCAGTTTTTCTCCATTAAGTATAATGCTGGCTGTAGGTTTGTCATATATAGCTTTATAATGTTGAGGTACTTTCTTCTATTCCTAGTTTTCTTAGAGCTTTTTATCATGAATGGTGTTGGATCTCATCAAAGGCTTTTTTCTGCATCTATTGAGATGATCAGTGGTTTTTGTCTTTGCTTTCTAATTAATGTGCTTATACAATTATAGATTTGCGTATGTTGAACACCCCTGCATTCCTGGGATGAAGCCACTTGGTTGTGGTGAATGATTTTTTGATGTGTGTTGGAATTTGGTTTGCCATTATTTTTATTGAGGATTTTTGCATTTATGTTCATTAAGGAGATTGGCATGTAGTTCTCCTTTTCGGAGGTGTCTTTGTCTGGCTTTGGGATGAGTATAATACTGGCTTCATAAAATGAGTTAGGCAATATTCCTTCCCTTTCTATTCATGGAACAGTTTAAGGAGGGTTGGTATTAGTTCTTCTTTAAAGGTCTGATAGAATTCAGCAGAGAATCTATCAGGTCCTGAAGTTTTCTTTTCTGAGAGACTCTTTATTGCTGCTTCAATTTCATTTTGTGTTATAGATATACTCAGGTGATTAATATCCTCTTGGTTCAAATTTTGGATGGTCATAAGTATCTAGAAATTTGTCCATTTCTTCAAGATTTTCAAATTTATTAGAATATAAGTTCTCAAAGTAGTCTCTGATGATTACCTGGATTTCTATGGTGTTTGTTGTTATTGCCCCTTTCACATTTCTGATTTTACTAATTTGAGTTTTTTCTCTCCTCATTTTAGTCAGATTTTCCAGGGATCTGTCAATCTTGTTTATTTTTTCAAAGAACAGATTTTTGTTTCATTGATTCTTTGTACTTTTTTGTTATTGTTTATTTGTTTGTTTCTATTTCATTAATTTTGGCCCTTATTTTTATTATTTCTTTCTGCTTGTTTTGGGTCTTGCTTATTCTTGTTTTTCTAGGAGTTTGAGATGTAGCATTAGGTCGCTTATTTGAATTCTTTCTGTACTTTTAATATATGCACTCAGGGCTATAGACTTTCCTCTTAGGACTGCCTTTGCTGTGTCCCATAGGTTCTGGTAGGTCGTGTTTTCATTTTCACTAACTTCCAGGAACCTTTTAATTTTCTCTTTTATTTCATCAATGACCCAGTGATCATTGAGCAATGTGTTGTTCAGCTTCCAATTGTTTGCATATTTTCTCTATTGTTTTTGTTGTTGATTTCTAGTTTTAATGCATTGTGATCAAATAGAATGCATGGGATTATTTCTGTTTTCGTATATTTGCTGAAGCTTGCTTTGTGCCCTGAGATATGATCAATTTTGGAGAAAGTTCCATGGGCTGCTGAGAAGAATATATATTGTGAAGAAGTTGGATGAAATATTCTGTAGACATCAGCTAGGTCCATTTGATCTACAGTGTGATTTAGTTCTAGAATTTCTTTATTGATTTTTTGTTTGGATGACCTATCTATTGGTGATAGGGGTGTATTAAAGTCTCCCACTACTACTGTGTTGGAGTTACGCTTTTAGGTCCTTCAGAGTATGTTTGATGAAAGTGGGTGTACTGATGTTGGGTGCATACAGGTTGATAATTGTTATTTCCTTTTGGTGTATTTCTCCTTTTATTAATATGGAGTGTCCTTCTTTATTTCGTTTGATCAGTGTAAGTTTGAAGTCTACTTTGTCCGAGATAAGTATTGCTACTCCTGCCTGTTTTCGGGGGGCCATTGGCTTGATAGATCTTCTTCCAGCCTTTCATCCTAAGCCAGTGCTTGTTTCTGTCAATAAGATGGGTCACCTGTAAACATCAGATTGTTGGATCTTCCTTTGTAATCCAGTTTGTCAAATGGTGTCTTTTGATGGGGGAGTTAAGTCTGTTAACATTCAGTGTTAATATTGATAGGTCCATGGTTATTCCTGTCATTTAGTTGTTTTTGTTGTTTAAGGGTTTTATTGTGTGCAGCTGAATCAGTGTCTTTTCATGACATTGATGTCCTTGTCTTTTCTTCTCTTGTGGTTTGGTACTGCCTGTCCTCTCATGGTTTTGTATGCTTTCAATTTCTGTGTGCAGAATTCCTTGAAGAATCTTTTGTAGTGGTGGCTTCATGGTCACATATTGTTTTAGTTTCTGCTCTTCGTGGAAGACTTTTATTGCTCCATCTGTTTTGAATGATAGTTTTGCTGGGTACAGTATCCTGGGGTTGAAGTTATTTTCATTCAGTGCCTGGAATACCTCACTCCATGCCCTTCTTGCTTTTAAGGTTTCCATTGAGAAATCTGCTGGGATTTTGATGGGTTTACCTTTGTATGTTATTTGTTTTTTCTCTTTTATAGCCTTCAGAATTCTTTCTCTATTTTCTGTGCTTGTTGTTTTATTTTGGTCAAGTCTGTTTGGTGTCCTGGAGGCTTCCTGTGCCTGAATGGGCATAACTTTGTCTAGATTTGGGAAATTTTCTGTTGTTATTTTGTTATATATTATGAATTCCTTTTGCTTGCACCTCTTCTCCTTCTTCAGTGCCCATGATTCTCAGGTTTGATCTTTTGATGGAGTCAGTGAGTTCTTGCATAGTCCTTTCACAAGTCTTGAGTTCTTTGACTAATAGCTCTTCAGTTTTTCCTTTAATTTCCATTTTAGCTTCAAGTTCTGAGATTCTGTCTTCCACTTGTTCTAGTCTGCTGGAGTGACCTTCAATTGTATTTTGTGTTTCTGTTTCATTTTTTTTTCTGAGGTTTTCCATATCATGGTTCACTTTCTCTTTAATATTGTCTATTTTCATCTTTAATTCATTTATCTCTCTATTTATAGTGTTCTCTATTTCATTTTGTGTTTATTTAGGGCTCCTATAAGTTCTTTTATTTGTTTCTGTGTCTTCTCATATTCTTTATTTTTAGTGTCTTGAAATTTCTTGAGTGCTCTTGTACGTTTTGGTTAACCATGCCTAGTAACATCTCCATGATCCTTAGTGATTACTTGCAGGACTTCTTCTTTGAGGATGTTCTTGTGGGCATTGTTGTGTCCCTTGACGTCATTTATCTTTGTTTTGTTGGCGTCTGGAGCTGGGTATCCATTTTCTTCATTTCCCGCTGAATCTTGTATTAATTTTTTTTTGCCGGGAGAATGTTTTCCATCCATTTTGTCTTCCCATCACTCTACTTGGTACTGTGTAACTATGTTCTTGATAGGCTAGTTGGTGGTTTCAGTCACCTGTTTTCTTTCCCTTTGTTTAATTTTGTTTTGTAGCGGTATTGTGTTTTTTGCTGAGTATGTGTACTATTTCTGTCCCTGGTCTGGGAATAATTTAGTATTAACTAATTCACAATAATAAAACTAACAACAACAAAAAAAAAGCCCAAAGAAATCAATGGGGAAAGATGAACAAACACAGAAACAAACAAGAAACAAGACAAGCAAACAAAAAAACCTCCAGGTTCAGGAACAATAGAATTTCAGTCTTAGTTTAAGTTCTGGTGTTACTCCTCCAGTATCCAGTCCTGGTGTTGGTATTTAAGCAGAAGCTCTGTCGTAGTCTCACTGGGTGGTTGGGTAGTGTTTTTTAGTTTTTTTCTTCTGTTTTTCAGCAGCAGCTGCTTGGTCAGCTCCTCTCTCAGTGAGGTGTGGCAGTTTAAGTTTGCATGTTGTCCTCAGGTTCTGGAGATCAGCCCTGTAGTCCACCAGCTGTCCTGCTGTTTGGTATGCCAAATGTCTTCCAAGCAGGTTTGGAGCCAGTGGCTGGTGGCAGCAGCAGCCCTCCTGTTTCCTCTGTGTAGTGTGGCATGGAGAAGCTTTCTATGGGCTAAAGGTTCAGGATGTCAAGGTTTTGATTCTCTTTGGTGCTTTGTTTCTGCCAAGTGTGGCTCCATCATTTCAGCAAGGTTTTTGATTCACACAGTTCACGCTGTCTGCTTCTGTACCCTAGTCACCATCTTGGATCCTCAGCTCCTAGGGATTTTTTAAGCACTTAACTTTATTGTCTGTTTTCCTATCCTGGGCCCCCATGAGATTCAGATTAATCTTTCCTTCATTAATGTTTTCTATATGGCATGTACTGCAGTAACTATGGAGGATTCTGAGTCTCTACCTTTGAAGAACTCTTAATTAGTGAGAGAAAAAAATTTTAATTACAATCCATTACATAAAAGGTCACCAAAAAATCCCCCAGCTCATATGGTTTAGAAGAATCTATACTGATTCTCAGTCATCCAGAGCAATACTGTCACATTGCACTTCCTGCAGTGATGGGTGACTTTACCAATAAGCACATGTGGCTACCGAGCTCTTGAAATAATAGCCACGTGCAGTTGGATGAGTAGGCTCTCCTCCTGTCCCAGGAGCACTGTGCCCAAGTGCACTGAACCATGTGAGTCTAATGTGTTCCCAGAAATGTTAATTACCCCCCAATGACTTAGAATTGAAAATGCATCCTACAGTAATTTCAGTAATTCCAGCTTTCCCGTAGTCAGAGATGTTTTTACTTTTTTTTTTTTTTTTTCCTTTCTTTCTTATCACACTGCAGTTTGGACCAGAAAATCCTTTTAGGACACAGCAAATGGCTGCTCCTAGAAATATGCTCTCTGGATATGCTGAGCCAGCTCACATCAATGATTTCATGTTTGAACAGCAAAGAAGAACGTTTGCCACGTATGGTAAGGTTGCAATAAGATTTACACAGTTTGGCTTTATTAGAAGTGTGACTGCACATGCAGTAATCTATTTTATCTTCTGGCTTTCTAAATTTATTAGTCTAGAGTCCCTTAAAAGGGGTAGTATACCTTCTTATTCCTATCTATAAATATTTATACAAACAGAAAGGTGAGCTAGTATTTTTAGGTGTCGTTTGAAATCCATTATGTTTTTTTCAATTTTTATTATCATATTGTTGTACTGAATTGTTGTGTGATTTCTGAGCACTAGAAACAATCTGTGACCCTAAACAAGATGTTCTTTGTTGTTGTAGTTGGTAATGAAAGTATATTATTGAATGTCCATTATCTGTAGATTGCTGTTAAAGTTGGTAAATGAATGGAGAGTTAAGATACTACATTTTTTTATCTTATTCTTTAGTTAACTTTACTCGTTTCTCAAATCTTGTCTCTGAAGTATTTTTCTCTTGATCACTAAAAATAATAGTAACATAGTCATTGTGTAAAATAATTGTCTCTTATCAATCCTGTGTTTTCAAAGTTAAGTTGTATGGAAACCGGTTGTGAAAGGATCATTACATATTAGATCATGTTTCCCATGGTAAGGTTGTAAGTGACTTACAGTGTGCCAAAAGTCACAGTTAAGACAATATCACTAAAATCACCCAAAAGATTTCATTAACACTTCCAGTTGAATAAAATGTTCACAAATGCATTGTATCCATTGCTGATCTAAGGATTCCCATGTAAGTGTAAAGCAATGTGTGCACATAAAAACCCACTCTGTTGCATTATGGACTTATAGAATCTGTTCCATACTAAAGAAGACCGTTAAAAAATTTGCTTGTTTTCTTAGACTTTAGGAAGACCTTAAGCAATAATTGAAGACAGTAGTCTCCTTAAAACAAGGGGAAAAGCCCAATTAAGTTAATGCTGATACCTACTTTTCTTCTTAAGATACTTTATAGAAAGAAGAAAACTTTGTAACTAGTTGGCATTTAGTCTTGGTTCAGAAATGGGCTTATTAAAAAAAAAGAAAAAAAGCCAGTGATTTTTGCCTTTCCTAGGGAAAAAAAAGTAGTAGGAGAAAATAGTAGGCTAAGATAGAGATTGAACTATTTTAGAGAATTAAAGTCATAACAAAAAGAATGTGGGACTATAGTATAATAAGCAATCTGGAAAAAGGGGAGTGGCCACTTGCAAAACTAAGGAAATCATGGTATGTCTCCTTTATGACAGATTTTTTAACTAAGAGCAGTTTAATAAATAAGTGAACCAACCTCAGGTTTAACTCTTTTTTTCTTTATGTTCATGAACTTAACAAATACAGCTTCTGTTAGTTCAAGTCTTAAAATTTTCTTATAGAAGGCTCTTATCTGAGTTTAGATAGTGATTCCTAGGCCAGATTCCTTTCTACTTATTTTTTTCACTCTTATGCATGGAATATAAGACTTTCTGTTACTACCCCCATTTAACTGAAGTATCATATTTATATATTCTTGAGACACCACTGCTGGACTATAACACAAATATTGCCTCTACTGTTCCTCCCATTATATTTGTTTGTTTTTGTGGTACTAGGGATTGAGCCCAGGGCCTTGTACTCTTCTTTTTTTTTTTTTTTTTTTTGTGGTACTGGGTTTGAATTCAGGGCGAGCCACTCTGCCAGCTCATTCTTCCCATTTTTTAAATGTGACATAGTTACAGTCTCAGTAAATGATTTCTGGAAGAATTATATTCTAGAGTACATTTAGTTTATTATAGAGCTAACCTGTAGAGTCCTTATCATTTACTTACTGTGTAGCTGGACTTTTAGTTCCTGTTCATGGTATTTTCCTGATGCCTCAGTCCCTCAATGGCAGGTATGAATTCTTCTTTCCTGATTGCTCCTCATCTCCTGCCTTCCTGCCATATTCTCTTGCTGGTCTTATCTGGGGCTTCTTATTTTACTTTCTCACCCAGAATTTTCTCTATACTGGTCTGTAAGAGGAAAATAGAATTTTAGAGAAACATCTTTAGTGTCATCCTAGGCATTATTAACATCTGTTTTAACTTATATTAGAAACTAGTAACATTTTAAAGTTTAAAAAGTAGTCTTATCGTAGTTTATGATACAAGAGTTTCTTGTATCATTAGATTTCATGTTAGTTCCAATTTCATTGTTAAAATGTGATATATGTATTATACTACAGTAAAATATCTTAAAATGTGGTAGTAACTGTTCTTGTACATAAAACTTTGGGGTTTTTTTTATTATTTTCTTAAATGAATTCCCAAAAATAGGTCAGAGAATGTTTTAAAGTATTTGTTCTGTTATCAAATGCAGAAGAGTCCCTCCATTTGTTCTACCACCTCCATGTACAGAAGCTCTTTCTCCCTACCCATGAGCTACCTGATTGTTCCCATGTTCATTTTGCAATCAGAATGTTCTGTCCTTTATTTCAATTCGATTCTTCTGAACTGCTAATGAGGTTCAAGATTTTGTCATATACTTATGCATTCCCATGCAAATTATCATTTACCTATTAGAACTTTAATATTGATAATCTTAAGGGTATGATAACAAAATTGATATTATTATAACCATTTTAGACATTAACTCCATTGAAAAGGAAAAGTGGAAAATAAGCTTCAGAATGATAGAGAATATTTAAGAACTACAATGCAGATATATTCATTTATTTGAGATGTGAAATAGAAAACTAATTGGACTAAAATTCTATAGTTTTAGAGTTAGTTTTACTCTATCACTGGCTGATTTGGAGTAGGATACAGCTAAATATTTAATTTCTCTTATTTCTAAAAAGAAAATAATGTTGTCCACTGATGAACTGCGTTGAGAGACAGCAGTAGGGGTGGTGGACGTGGCAGTAAAAGACTTCTGTGCAGAGGATGTGGTATAAAAGGAAAGCATCAGCTCCTTAGGAGCAAGACTGGCCATATGAGCTGGACCTTGGTACCTGCACAGAAGCAGGAAGGACCAGGGACATGCTGCCCTCCTTCCTCCTCTAGCCCTCAAACACATCACACAGTGCCATTTATGACACAAATCTCCTTTCAAGGTAAAACTTGTATTCTTGGTCAACTTTGTATCGTTGAGGTGGGAATTGTTAATTCAGGATGCTTGGTCTCAATTTTATATGAGCCTTATAAAAGTCTCATTTTTAAAAGAAAAGCATGTACAGAACACTATTTTGTACATCAAAGAGATAAAAGCTAAAATAATTCATGGATGACCCTGTGATTTCAGAGATTCTACTCAAAAGCTGCTTTTCTGCTGTCAAGCTCTCTCTTCTATCTAAGAACATATTTTAATGCTGAAAAAAACCTAAATGCAAATGGCTACTTGCCAGGTAGTTGGTTCTAGTCTAGCATATCGGGAGAGTGAGTTAAGCACCTACATCCTCAGCCTGTTTTAAAGTATGTTTTATCACTAATCTTTTTCTGTTCCCTAAAAGAAGCTTGGCCCTACGGTGCCCTTTAAAAACATGAGTTAGTACTTTTTAAATATTTGCATTTGTTCTCATGTGTTGTCGACCGTAGACTAGTCAGTGATCTGACTCACTTTTGTGAATATGCTGGATTATTATGAAAGCTGATCATACCAGATATTTATAACACACCCACTTGAGTTAACCTTGGTAGACTCTCTCTCCCTCAGTTCCCCTGGTCCGTTGAAGGCCACATTTGTATGTAGCTGTAGACTCTAGAACTAACTGAAGAAGTCTATTCATATGCCAGCAACTATCTATACTTTGTTCGCTTACCAAGGAAATATAAAGAATGATTTATGAAGTAAAAATATATTATTTTAAAGTTGAAGGAAAGACTGCCCTTACTGAGAATACATTTTCAAAATAATAGCTACATTTCATGTAATTAATTTCTTACCCTATTTCTTTTTAAATTTAATAATAATACTATCAACTGTAGTATCCATTACCAAAAAGAAAAAGGAACTAGTTTCTATCCTTCTGATCATATAATCCACAAATATTTTTAAAGTCTTAGAACATTTGAGATTTAAGTTTGAGGCTAAGAAAGGCTCTTAGTAGCATAATATCTATTTGTTAGATTCATCCTAGATGATACTTCTTATTCTGCTAAAGTCATTCATGGTCCAGCCTGAGATTTCAGTTAATTATTGTAAATAGAAATTGGAAATCAGGAAAGAAGGATGGATTCTTAGTTAAAGCAACCATTTTTTATGTCTGCAAGAAAAATGTGAAAGGGGTGTGTGTATATAGTAATAAAATGAATTGTAAATGGCAAAATGAAGTCAGCAATTTGCACGTTTTCCCTTTCAGGTTATGCATTAGACCCCTCATTAGATAATCATCAAGTGTCTGCTAAATACATTGGCTCTGTAGAGGAAGCTGAAAAAAATCAAGGTAATGTATTTGAAATAATTCTACCAAATATATACGTATGCTTTATAATTAGTGTCTTACAGTAATTAGACAATAGGAAAAGTTAGTATTTTATTCAGCGCAAGTTGATACAATAGGGTAATAAGGTTAGAGCAATATAGTTTAGAACTGCTTTTTCCACTTATTAGCTGTGCAGTCCTGTAAGGAAGATGGTGATATGTATCTTTTTGGGTTATTTTGAATACTTGGCATCATGCCAACCCTGTAGAACTCATTCAGTGCAATTAGTGTATAGGTAATTTCAGCAGTTGACTTCTCAACCCTAATGTCAAACTCCATTTTAACAGAGCAGAAAATTTTCATTTTGCATGTCTGTGAAGATTGTCTTTGAAGGGTGCTTTCATGGCTGAATTTGAATATTTTTTATAAATATGTGTATGTGCTTATATTCATTTTGTACTTAATTATAAGAGAAAGTATCCTACTCTAAATGCTAACCTGTCACAAAGCTCATCAGAACATTGTAATCCTTTTTATAAAATGCATTAAACAAAGAATATGCTACTTGCAGAGATGACCCCATAGGATCAAGTTGCCTTTCATATACGAGGTAGATTATTGCTAAAAATAGAATTTTAACACACTTTATTGTGGCACAAAGCCTGAATGAAACTGATTTGAATTAATTTAGATGGACTCCTTTTTCCCTTAAGTTGTACCTCTGTAAGCCTCATGTATACGTATTTTGACTCTCAGTTAACTTGTGACCATGATACCCATAAACCTTTCTTTTTTCCAATTTAATGACATAAACAGTATGCCGCCTAAACCACAGAATCATCCTCCCTCATTTCTTTTTACTGTTCAGATTGATATTAGAGGTCAAGTTTAGATTGACATTATATGGGGAAAAAAATACCAGATTCTTGTGAAATCTTGTTTTATTTATGTTGCTGCATTGCAAGAAGTTCTTAAATACTTACTGTAGTTTAATTTAATACCATTTTTTAAATGCCAAATTGCAGTTTATTCTTACTTTCAAAGGCAGTTTTATCATTATTTAGCAATATTGAGTTGCTGGGTTTCTTTCAAAAGTCCACAAATAACGGCCTTTTTTATTCATTAAAAAGGCTATGTACCATCCTAGAATTACATGTTTCTTTTAAAAAATGCATTAGAATTTATAAAATACTGCAGTTTTAGAAGCATTTTTCCCCAGAAAGTTGAATTCCTTTTTGTTGTAGCATGAGTTGCTATATATGGGTTTGTTTTGTTTTGTTTTGTTGATTATTTGAACAATTCCTTTCTTCAACTATATAAAATTATATATGTGCTGATATTTCTGAAGAAAATACATATAGTTAAAATTCCTTTTTGTTGTTTATGTAGGTTTAACTGTCTTTGAAACTGGTCAGAAGAAAACAGAAAAGAGGAAAAAGTTCAAAGAAAATGATGCATCTAATATTGATGGTTTCTTGGGACCATGGGCAAAATACGTGGATGAGAAAGATGTAGCCAAACCTTCAGAAGTAGGCTTTGATGTTTTTCTTTTTCAATTCAGCTATATGCTGTGCCTCTATGAAACCTATCTATATTAATAAATTTGAAATTTCCTTAGAGAACCAAATGACTCATCAGAATTTCTCTGCTTTGGTTGACTGAGAAAATATATAATTTATTTGTTTTTGTATGCAATATTTTTATCTGCCTTTTTCTGCCTTACTTTCTATACTTTTTTATTAAAATAGACTATTGAACAATTTTTAACAAAAATTCTCTTAATAGTGCTTTTAAGTGCCATGATGGCTGTTCTTCTGATGCCAGACATTCAGATAGTAACTACAAAACCAGCCTTTCTATCATAATGCAATTGATGGTTAAAATCTACAATTTATCTATATTGTTTTTAAAAATATTACTGTGAAGTTTATAAAGTACAACTACAGAACTATACCCTTCCTTTCCCTATGTCCATAATCCCACTGTCTCTGTGAGCCAGGCACTGTTCTAGAGCCTGGAATGGACAAGATCAGGAAAATCCTGTCTCATGAAGCTTGTGTTCTATCTCGTTCTTCTGTCCATGTAACTGAATCATGTATATATGCTGCTGTTTTTCTTTTAGATTAATCTCTTATTTGTTACTATAGATACAATGTAGATAGTCCCTCATTTTTCTTCCCCAACTCTCCCCAAAAACAGTCACTAATCTGTAGTCATTGCTCATACCCTCATGACTACGTAAAAGCTATTTACTGAAGAACAGTGTATGTACTAAAATTCAAATTTTTCTACTTGCCTTGTTCTTCCAGTTGCATAATTATGCGTAACATGTTAAATTTATTTCTAGGTACTCCAGAAAGATGAGCTTTATAAAATTAGTAAAATTTAATTTTTTATAAATAATAATAGTTATTTATAAAATTAGGTTTTTTGGTGTTTTTTTTTTTTTTTTTGGTGGAACTGGGGTTTGAATTCAGGGTTCCATACTTGCAAAGCAGGTGTTCTACCACTTGAGCCACACCTTCAGTCCATTTTGTTCTGGTTATTTTGAAAATGGAATCTTGCAAACTGTTTACCCGGGCTAGCCTCAAACCATGATCCTCCCAATCTCAGCCTCCCAAGTAGCTAGGATTACATGTATAAGCCACCAGTGCCCCGCTAAAATAATCAGTTTAAAGTTTAAAAATATTATCTATTATCTATTATGTGTGTAATGGAATATTGTAATCTGTGAAAGGCATAATCCGTCTCTGCTTGTGGAAGAATTGAGATTGTTATCCTGGGAGACATACTTGTAGATATTGCTTCATAAAAATGTGGACCTTATTATAAAGAATTTGTAGCTGGGCTCAGTGGCTCACACCTATGATACCAGCTACTCAGAAGATGAAGAAGAAGAGGATTGTAGCTCTAAGCAAGCTAGGCAAAAAGTTAGCAAGACCCATCTAATCAATAACTGGGCGTAGTGGTGTGCTCCTGTCTTCCCAGATGTGCAGGAGGTGATAGGTGGACGATCACAGAAGGAAACAGTCCCAGCAAAGACTCAGCCCTACCTGACATACAACCAAAAGGGATGGGGCATGGCTCAAATGGTAGACTGTCAGCTTAGCATGCATAAAGGCTTGAGTTCAAACCCCAGTACCACCAAAAAAAAAAAGAAGAATTTATGACCAACTTTGGACATGATAAGTTTCTCAAACATTTGCTTTAAAGTTCACGCCTCTATGTCCTTAGGAAGAACAAAAAGAATTGGATGAAATTACAGCAAAAAGGCAGAAAAAAGGCAAGCAGGAAGAAGAGAAACCTGGGGAGGAGAAGACAATCTTACACGGTAATACGTTTTTCATACTGTCTTTCATGAAAAACACTCCAGACGTACACTGTTTTCTGGTCATATCATACCCATTGCCCTTACTGTAATTAAAAACGATTACTTTGAACAATTTGCAACCCAAGGAAATCACAGCAGACTCTTTGTGCTAATAAAAAAGAAAAAGTAACATAATTAATAATAGCCACAGATTTTTGTTGAAGTATTAGTGAATTCTTAAAGAGTAAATAAAGAAGAGACTTAAATCTATAATCTGTTCTTTCCTAAGAAAGTTGACTTTTTTGTGTATCAATACTGTCTCAGTCATTTAATTTATTCATTTTTTTAACCTAAGTCAAATATTTATGTTATCATCACAGTTTGTAACTGTTACTGCCTTAAACTTTAAAAGAATAAGCTTTGTTTTCATGTGACTAGATTGGAGATTACAACTCTCGTACTTGTTGGGACTTGTGGAAAAACACATATTCATCAAAACAAATTACAAGTATTCTAGAATGCACCTGTGTTCATTAAGAATTAGTTACATTTAGGAAATTGCATAGTGATTATCTGAAACCGTAAAGAATAATTTAGCATTGATAGTCTTGCTTATTCTAATGTTTTGTCACACCATATATTTAGGTTTGATGAGGCCAGGTATGGTTTCACAAAGTAGAGTTTTGTGTCCAGGGAGTCTTGAGTACTGTGCTGATTCTACTCATAATAGCTAACATGTGTGAGTACCTACTCTGTGCCAGACATACTGCTAAATGCTTTTGTACTCTATGTCATCCAAGCCACCCATGTGACTTATCATAAAGTTTGTGGTGAACACAGAAAAAAAATGAATGAAAAGGAACCAGAAGACATAAAAGTAGAAAGCTGGGGGAAAAGGATAGTTGATTTTATCTTAACTTCTTTATCCTCTTCTGCTTCTGACTCTACTAGTGACTCACAAGACAAAAGGATTATCTTTTTGTCCCCTGCTATAATTATGCTGCAGTGAAGTCTTTATTATATATCACTAAAATGTGTCACTGAGTGAAAGAAGTATAGGTCTTATTTAAAGGCCTAATGCTCTCTGGGCATTTAGGAATTCCAGAATTTTACCCTTCATTGTAAATAAAGCCAGGATTTCAGGCAGCTAAATTTTAGCTAACTCATGATCTTACTATTATCAGAGTGTTATTACCTAAGCTTTAATTTGGACAATAACCCTATGAATGGAAAATATGTTATTTTAAGAATCTAGACTCATGACTGTGACTTGTATTTGTTTATTGCCTTCCTGTTTCAGTTAAAGAAATGTATGACTATCAAGGCAGATCCTATCTGCACATACCTCAGGACGTTGGTGTTAACCTACGGTCATCTGTGCCACCTGAAAAGTGTTATCTTCCCAAAAAACAAATCCATGTGTGGTCCGGACACACAAAGGTAAGCAAGTCGGATGTTTGCATTTGCTGTAATGTTATAATAGTGAAGCCAATATAAAGATTTAACTTTTGATGTGGAACGTTCAATATTTCTGGTAAAGATGCAGAGAAGTCAAATTAAAGATAAACCTGAATTAGGTTTTGGCAATACCTACATGTAACAGTGCCCAGTGACTAATGAGGCCATCTTGATTGGCCCTGACATAGCATGCATTGCTCCATGTGCTTCCCTGAGTGTAGCCCAGTGTTTTCCCCACAAGTGCCTGCCATAGTTTGCTTCCTCTTGGGTACCATGTCAGTGAGTATCAAGTCTCCTGTGTGGCCTCAGTAATGTTGCCTTGGTTCTTGGGGTTAGCACACTTCAGAGATTAGATGCCCCCTAGGTTATAATCCAAGATAATATTTAAACTAATGCAGAGTCCAGATACATGAAAATTTGGGGTGTTGATATTCTTTATCATCTGCACTTTTCCAACTGTTGGTTTCCAGCTCTTTACAAAGAGCAAAGGGACTATAGAAAAGAAGGGGAAGAGGTGGGGCATTAGCAATTTGATCAAGTCAGAATTCCCATAGGTGACAAAGTTAAAAATGAAAAGTTAAAAAAAAAAATCTTCAAAAGCTTCATGTCAATAAAGCCTGCTCTTGGAAAACTAATGAAGGCTATTCTGGGGCATGATGTTCGGAATGAAGAAAAGTAGCAAATTAGGTGGCTTAAAATTTACTGTCTTTGCCTTCTGTTCAATTCTGGTTGATAAGCTTCTGGGTGATAACTGTGGTGCCTTTTTACAGGGTGTCAGTGCAGTCAGATTGTTTCCCCTCTCTGGCCATTTATTGCTGTCTTGTTCCATGGACTGTAAAATTAAGGTGAGTTTTCAGTAACAGAATGAAAAGCCGCAAAGCTCAAGCTGCAAAGCTAGTGCTTTGGTTAAATCCGTTTGGTTAATTATAAATAAATTTGGATTTGTTAGGCAATTAGAGGCTAATTATTTTCTCTTAGGTCCTGTGAATGCAGCTATTTATGAACTGCTTCCAAACTTGTAGATTCAGATAGGGCTCTGTGGTCCAATTGGCTTGATCCTTTTAAAGCTTAGACAACTGATTAGAGTGTAATCCAATCACTTTGGTATTACATACGTAAATATTTAATCACTAATAATGTATTTTTATAGACACTTTAGGTATGTAACTGAGTTCGTTTGTTTTTCAGAATTGTCTGAAGTAGAGCAGACACATGGTAGAAATCCCATGTTTAGAAAGTAAACATCCTGTTTCTTTTGAACATTGTAGATACCAAGTAGTAGAAATCCTCCTCACCCTTTCTCTCACTTCTAAGGAAACTCCACCTTTACCTGCTACTGCGTTATAGAATGTGTGGTAGAAAAAACTCAGTTGCCAATCATGTCAACATGAATATGAGGAAAGCCTTGAAAAAAAATCTTAAATCTGAAAGGATAGTTCTTATCTTTTTGTGTTCTCAGATCCATAATATTACAGTGGTTCAACAGATACAGTATAGTGCTCTTGTGGCTTGGAAAGTTGGGTTGTTAAAGTCTTACCCTTTTTAAATAATTGATGAGTATTAACAATATATAAAGGCAGCTTCTTTTGATGAGGTATTTGTCTCTGGTAGAAACAATTTGTCTCCATTTGTGTCTAATTGAGATAGTTTGTAGTAATAACCCTTATTTTCTTTAACTTTCACCTTACATAACCTCACTTATAAGATCATGATACTCTCTTTGTTTAACTAGAAAAGTACAGAGTTCAATTTAGTTGACTTCTAAAAACATTTATTAGGTGCCTATTACACACAAGAGACTGAGGATACAAAGTTATTAAGGAACCTTCCCTGCCCATCGGATGATCATTTCATTATGGTATAAATAGTCATGGTACTGGCAGGTTCTGAGGCTCAGTACTCAGTTTCTAAAAGGAAGCATACCTCAGCAGTAAGGTTAAGTAAAGGAGGGAGGAATAAGGTGTTTGAGAATAGTGTATAGAATGAATCAGCATGGTGTATATGGAAAGCCACAACAATTTTGTGGTTGCCAGAGCATAAAATCTAGAGACAAAGAATGATTACAGTCATAGGCAAGGGACCAGATCCTGCAGGTCCTTGCCTGGTCAACTATGGGAAATGAGACTTTATCTGGTTGGCCCTGGAGGGCCAGAAAATGCTTTCAATTTTAGAACACTTGCAACACTGTCAATGACTGGATCTGAGGAAGGCAGAACTAAGCTAATTTTGAAGCTTTAGATATGGTGAGAATTAAGAGCATATTATTTTAGACTAGATCTTTATTTTCATACAGCTTCTATACTTACTACTTCAGAAAATATATTTTTAAAGACTTTCAGTATCAAATGTTATATACAGGGCAGTTGTAGTAACATTCAGTTACTTTAGAAGTGGTTCCATAGTATTATAAAAGTAGAAACTGTTCATCGTAGGAGATATATAAAATGTAGAAACAAATAATAAGAAAACAAAACCACCTGGATAAACTCCAGTTAAATTCCCTTGACATTTTTATGTAAAGACCTTTAAAACTAGTTCTGAAAGTGTATATGTATATATGTATGTGTGTGTTCCAAATAGCATAACAGAAACTGAAAGCACTCACCAATATTTAATAAATCCTCTGTACATATGCAGAAATACACATAACATAGCCAGCATGTGACTGTTATTATTACTGATTAAAGACACTTATTAAATTAATATCTCCAGGGCTAGGGTATAGCTCAGTGATAGAGCATGGGTTTAGCATATATAAGGCCCTAAATTTGATTCCCAAGACCCCCAAAAATTAATATTTCTGTGTGTTGTTTTTTTCCTCCAGCTATGGGAGGTTTATGGAGACCGGCGCTGTCTACGAACATTTATTGGTAATACTTCTTTTCTTTGGCTATAAATCAGTTTGGGAAGACTCTTTCAAGTAAGCTAACATTATCAATAGAAATTTTATCACCTTGATGAGAAGGAAAGTATTCATAGACTTGAGCTGAGTCTAGAAAGAGTAAGGAATAAGTCTCCCCAGATAGACAGAGAAGTCAGTAGTGAGAGTAAGCAGAAGCAAAAGTAGTATGAGAAAGCATGTTGCTTTAGGGGATCCCATATGATGCCAAGTATTGATGCCAGACGAGTGGAGACATGCAGTAAAAGGGGAACTAGAGAATGGAGAACCGTTTGTGTCACTATCCTAAGGGCAGTGGGGAACCATTAAACAGCTCTTAACAGCAAGTACCAAAATCACATGGCAATCTGGGGGATACTTTGATATAGAGCAAGCCTAGAGAAAGGAAATGAATTACTATTATTTCATTGGTCTGGATGGTAGATACTGAGAGTCTGAACCAAAGCAACAGAGATAGCGAAGAAAGGAGCTATTAAGTGTTACTAAATCAATGGGATTTAGTAACAGAATATGAGTGGTAAAAGGCAGGAATTTAGGATAGGTCCCAGGTAGCTAGATAAATGGTGGAGCCATTCAAAAGCGAGGGAACATGGAAGGATGATGAAGTTTTAGACTCATTAAATCTGAGCTGCTGGAGGATATTGAGGTGAAAATGTCCAGCAAGCAATAGCCAGATGTCAAGCTTTGAAGTGAGGTTGGGAGCTGGCAGCTAACTAAGATAGGATGAGGTTGAGAAAACCCCTTGAAGAAAAGAAGAGGGCCAAAGAGAGGACAGCTTCGTAACAAACTAACCTTTCTGGTTCCTGTCACTTCCCATGAAGGCTACACTTTCCTAATTTAACTGCGCCACATTGAAAGTCTGAATTTTAGCAGGTCTGTTTTCAGATTAAAGTGAGAGTCCGTTCTTCCATGCTTTGTTAACATTCTAAGGCCTCTGTGCAAATAAATACTAAGATGCCATGCAGCCTAAAGGAAGATGTGTTGGGTGTGTGTAGTGGAACAAAATGTCTCTGTCAGATATAGCGGGTTTGATCTCCATTTGTCAGTGGAAAACTGAAATTTTTCCTACTTTGGAAGATGATAGCAGCTCTGCTTAGGACTCTTGCTATAGAAAAAAAGTGCCTAATTGCTATAGCACGTATTTCCTGACTGTAGTTCCATGGCAGTGGTGATGGTTCAAAGGTACTGCATATGGGTGACAATTTGTGCCATATATTTTGCACACCTAGATGTGTCTTATTCAAGGTAGACATGGTGAGAAATAGGAAAGTTTCTGTTTTTGTTTAGCCATGTTTGAGTGTCCCCAAAACTTCAAAAGACTTGATAGGTCTGGCAAGATCAATTTCCAACTAAAGCATAATCAACACCTTAAGATTAATCAAAATGCCATCGTAAAACAAAATGGAATTCATTGTTTTCCAGAAGGCTTGATATCCGAGATTCTGAATCAGTTTCTGTGAAATTAAGTGATGTGATTGCAGAAATATACAATTAGTGAACAAGGGCTGCAATTTCCTGGACTTTAGGGTTAGGTCACTTTGTTTTCAATTCTAGCTTGTTGAGCACTCTTGAGAGTGAGCCTCCAAAATTTCAGCTTCGGTTCTTTTACTGGCAATAATTTGCCTATCCTGTCTCCATAAATCTTGGCTTGTTATTCATCAGTTGCCTGCAATTTTGAGAAATAGCTATGACAAATTTGAATTTGGAAAAAAAAAAAAAAAGACCTTTTTCTCTTGGTTCTTACAAAAATGGCATGCACCTGGGGTGCTTGTTGAAGGAAGAAAAACAACCACAGCCCACACATAACAGATTGGCAGTCAGTAAATCAGAGATGGAGTTCCAGTGATCATGATTCACAGCTTTCCTTGGACCACCATTTAAACTGTCTCTCTTTATGGTGTTTATGAAGATAGATTACTTGATCTCACTGCCATTTGTGTTGGCTCTGCCCATAGGTCACAGTAAAGCTGTAAGGGACATCTGCTTTAATACTTCAGGAACACAGTTCCTTAGTGCAGCCTATGACAGGTATCTGAAACTCTGGGACACTGAGACAGGTAAGAGTGCACTGATACTAATGCATCTTTATCTTCTGAATTAGTACTTACAAAGAAAACAGTAGGCATGGTCTTCTGTGGCAAAATGGTGTCTTCTGATAATTCCCACGCCACTCAGGTAATACTATAAAATATGTTTATAGAGTTAAAACTCAGCTATATAAGCAGCTCTTTCATTCTGAGACGTTATTCCCACCCCATCTAATGTGTAAAGCAAACATATTGAGAGACAAGCAAATTTGAAATATTCTGTAGACCATCTGATGATCCCTTTACTCCCCTATATCACCTAGCATGGTGCATTACATATAGCAAGAAATAATAAATATCTGATGAGCAGAATTAAATTAAATGCTTAAATTGATAATGTAGGTCTGAGCCAGTCAGTTTTACATATTCACAGTCATACTCATTACATCAGTATTTCGTGGCTAGTACAAATTTATATTATTAGAAAACCATCTTTTAGAGTTGGGTATGATAGCACAGGCCTGCAATCCTAGGCACTCAAGAGGTGAAGACAGGAGGATCATGAGTTTGAGTCCAGCCTGGGCTACATGGTAAGACTCTTCTCTTAAAACAACAACAAAAACTATCTTTTGTCTTTTAAGGATAGTGATGATAATTAATGTTTGCCAGGCATTATGCAAAGGATGTATGAGTACGTCATCCAGTCTTAGTATATCCCTATAAGATATGTAACAATATTACATTATAGATGAGGAAACTAAGGCTTAAAGGTATGTTTCCCAAGGTCACACAGCTAGTAGGTTGCAGAGTTGGGTTTAAACCGAAGTCTTTTTGATGCCAAACTCCATGTTCTTCACCTCTCAATTCTGGCTACAAGTTATAATCATCTGAAGAGCTTCAAAATTACTGGATCCTACCCTCAAAGTCCTTATATGATTGGTATAGACTGTGAACTAGGTGATTCCACTCTGTAGTCAAGACTAAGAGCTAATCATTCCATAGCTCCTTTAAAATTCAAGATGTAAGCTGGGCACAGTGGCTCATACCTGTAATCCTAGCTACTAGGAAGGCCAAAATCTGGAGGATCACGATTTGATTTGACGCCAGCCCAGGCTTTTGCCCTCCATCTTCACCAATAAAAAGCTGAGCATGGTGTTGCACACCTGTTATTCCAGCTACATGGGAAGCATAAATAGGAGGATTCAGTAGAGGTGGGCCTGTACATATAAATATGAGACCCTATTTAAAAATAACTAATGCATAAAGGGCTGGGGGCATGGCTCAAGTGGTAAAGCACCTGCCTAGCAAGGACAAACCCCTGAGTTCAACCCCCAGTACAACCAAAAAAAATTCAAGCTATAACTTATAAAGTACATTTATGTTAAGTGATTTCTTTTTTTCAGGTAAACATATCTATGAACTTGCTTTAACTATAATACGGTTCTAGCACTAAGTATGGGTTTCTTACACTCTTTTTCAGTCTACCCACTCCCAGTAACCATTCTGTCATCATAGTTTTGTTTTGATTATTAAAAATCTGTGAAAAGGAACAATGTAATTTACAGTAAACAGAAGCAAGATGCCCTTCCTCAAAACTTATTAAGCAAATGACCACTGGATCTTAGTGCCACTGTCATTGTTTAGTGATCAAATTTATTTTCCTTATTTAACTTGAGTCTTTGGTTTTAGGACAGTGTATATCAAGATTTACAAACCGAAAAGTACCCTATTGTGTCAAATTCAATCCTGATGAAGATAAGCAAAATCTCTTTGTGGCTGGGATGTCTGATAAAAAGATTGTGCAAGTAAGTGTTTTTGCAGTATTTTCACTAAGATTTCTGAGCTTTATGTTGTTATGAATACAGAATATTCACTCATTTAATGTTAGCTACTTTGAGGGACTGCTGATGCTCTGTACTTAGTAGAAAAGTCAGTTCATAAAAGTATAGTGTTAAAGATCTTTTCCCTGTTGAAAATTATATCTTTGTTGGTTTTCCTAAATCCCCTCCACTTCTATCTTTACCTTTTCTCTTGTTTGCTGTACAGTGGGACATTCGAAGTGGAGAAATTGTGCAGGAATATGATCGGCATTTAGGAGCTGTCAACACCATTGTTTTTGTTGATGAGAACAGGAGATTCGTGAGCACATCCGACGATAAGAGCCTAAGAGTTTGGGAATGGTAGGTTTCCATCAGTAGAAAATCTGATGTACACAAAGCAAACAATTTAAAAATTTGTAGCCAAAGACAAAGCCTTTGAATATAATATTTTTGCCTCTTTGATCATGGCTTGCCAATCAAACTGATTTAACTAAGTATCCACAATTTGGAAACTAAAATCTAAGCATACTACCCTTGACAGTCTTCTGGCTAATCTTTCCAGATACGTACTTTGGGTTGCTTTTCTTACAGCTATGATAGCTATTTATTGTGCTGTCTCACGGTCTTCATTAGATGCCTTATTCATCTTTGCAAAATGACTGGTATGGACCACAGATGTATAGAACTATATTGGTTATATAGGAATTGAGCACAAGATCCTGGCCTCAGAACAAACCCAAAGAAAATACTTATGTATCTCTTAGTTTTTTTAAATGTTCAGTGCTGTTAAGTGGCCTCATAGTATCATCCTTGTATAAATACTTTGCTTATTGAATATAATCAAAATTCTGTAAGATAATTTTTGCTTTCCTAGAAAAAAAATCTTTTTCCTAAAGTCAAGAATTACTGAAGCTAATTTCATTAAGTATCATTGGTCATGTTTTCTGATTTGGTTGCAAAGAAATACATGTTAACCTTTTTTGTTAAAATAAATGTTTAGACAGAGCCCAGTTTGTTTTTATAGTCTGTTACGAAGTACAGCTCAGCCACTGACTACAGCCTTGGGAAAGAGCATCTTTCAACCCCCAGAAGTTGTTACACTTTAGGAAAAAGTGGGAAGCTTTCAACATGGGCAATGGTTTCCACCTCATACTGGATTGCTGAGCAGGCCCTAACCACTGTCAGGACAATTTGGGTTACTGAAGATTTCATGCAATTTAACTGCAATTTCTCCCACACTCACAACCACTACATCCCTTCGGATTATCCCCAGCTAGTAGAACGCTGACTGTTCTATAATATGTAGTCTTAACATACAGCATCATCCTTAAGATCTGTCCATGGTTTGAGACCACCTTATAACTAAGATCTTGCTTACTTCAGAAATGGTGCTTCTTGCAGAGAATCTGATGTGGGCACAAGGTTTTATATAATCCATCTTAGACTATGTGCACATATTCTTTGTTTTGTTTGATATACATTAATAATTTGACTATTAAACATTCAGATGTTTCTACCTTCAGCACTTGTGAGTATTTTCTGAAGAACTTTGACCAACATTTGATCAAAATTAAATTAAGGCCATAATGTTAGCTTCTTCCTCTCGGATCTTAAGAAATATTCCAAAGAAGACATGATAGTGTTTGGTACATGATGGCATCCTTTAGATTTCCATTACTTACCATCATTGTAATCATTAACAATGTATTTGTGGAGCTCTTTCTATATACCCGTCATTATGATAAGCATTTTACATGAGCTCTTTGATTTAATGTATATTTGTTTATTCCCATTTTCTATATAATGAAACTAAGACTGGTAAAGTGATTTGCTTAAGGTTATATAGAACATGAAAGGACCAGTTTGACCAAACTCGTGTGTCAAACTGATTCCAAAACTTGAGTTCCTGATTATGGCTAGAGAGATGTGTGAAGCAATAGGTAGGGAAAGAAGATAAGTTGTATCTGGTTCAGTTGGTGAGACAGCAATAAATCTGAGGGCCAGTCTTGCTATAAGGGCAAGTAGGAAGCAAAACCAGCATAGCCCCCCAGAGCTCTTACAGACACCCTAAAATTAATTGCTAGTGTTTTTGGAGGCTTGTGTAGGAGAAGGGAGGTCATAGCCTCAAAGTGAGAGCTGACCCAGCTGCAAGGAAATTACCAGTACTGTCCACCAAGTGATGTTTACCTGCTTAGAGCAGCACAGTGATATAAGAAAACAAACCAAAGGAAACTGGGTTTTTGTAAGCAGTATACAATAATGTAGTTCTGAAGGAGAATTGGAGGTTATGTTAGATGCTGTAGTATTTTAATCAGCTAAATGCATGAAATGTCATAGGCATGTTTTCTCCCAAAGGTATTTATTCTGATAAAACATTTTAAAAGAAAGCTTTATAGCGGTTGATACACACTGCTATTTATCTTTTATTTTTAAAATTTTGTAAATGTTTATTAATTTTATTATGAATTCGTTTCCAAACAGAAGATTATCTGAAGATGTGTTCCCAGCTTATTATACTGAATTATAGTATCTAATTAGAAAATAGTGTTGTGTTTATTAAATTATGCCTAGCAGACATTTTTTACTAAAAATAATGAAGTTCACAGAGTAGTTCAGATTCTGTTCTTTTTCTAGAGCTTATTGTACCAAGTTTCCTTTTGAAGTAAGGGCCTACTTGAATTTTTTTGTTTATAGTTAGTAAAACATTGAATAACACAAACCTAGACTATGTTTAATTTTAATTTAGGAAGTGCTCTTGTTTCAAGCCATGTTATAAAAATTAGCCCCTAGTATGAGGAGGGGAAAAAACATGAATCCTTTTAGATTGGTGCTCTAATTTTAATAGACTATGGTTATTCTGAATGTCAGTTCTTACCACTGCCGTAGAGAGGGTAGCGGGTTGAAGACCTGACACGTTGTTATGCCCCTCGATACACCTGAAATCTTTTTTCTCTGATCATTTTATCTTCCTCGGTGGTTGAATGAGTGGATAGAGAAAATTCTCACATGAAGCAAATTACTAATGTTTTCCAATTAATCTAAGTGTTGGAACTTGAACTGCAGTTTTTTGGTTGGTTTTTTCAGTGTTGGGGTTTGAACATTCACAGGGCCTTGTGCTTGCTAGGCAAGTGCTCTACCACTTGAGCCACTCCTTCATCTCCCAAACCTTCGCTTGCAACTGAAATTGCTGCTTCATATCCTACTACTCATCAGATTCCATTCTCCACACATTACTCTATAAAAACCATCTAGTCTTATTAGAAGAAACAAAATCAAACTTCTTTCAGAATTACTAAATACTTTTTATTATAAAGAATAATAAAAATGAAAAGGTATTTATTGTTGATGGTTCTAAATTTAGTTGACTAGTTTCTCGTTTTTTGTTGTTTTTGTTTTATCCTTTTTATCAAATATATGAAGTTTTTCTTTTTGTTTTTACTGTTTTCCTCCTGTACCATATTTTCAAAATGTTTTACAAGTAAACTGTAAATTGCCTGGGTACTAAGCACATAATCCCCTGGCCTTGGTCATTGTTTCTGCACAAATTAGGGCAACTCGCAGATGGCCACAGTGCTGCCTGTGTCCACCGCCCGGCTGAAGGCTTTTAGTGCTCCCCCCTGCTTGCAGAGTAATGAGTTAGGGTTCCCTTCCGGCTTGATCAGACATCTTGTTTCTGCCTACTGTGGTACATTTTAAGACAAATTCTTTATTAAGGAACATTCAGTAACAAAATTGTTAACCTAAGGGCCAAAGCTTAAATCTAGTATTAGAAAATAAAATCACTGGCACTGTTATAAAGCAGCACAGAGTCATTTTGTGATTTTCCTTTGTCCAGGAGGTTTAATGAAAAGGCTTAGTAAACATGTCATTTCAAGAATCTGGTTTTGTTTGGACTGTTGTTTTGGAGATCATTCTTCTAAAGGAGCTTCTGTAAACGAGTCATTCTGGCATACTATTTCTCATTTTCAGGGATATCCCTGTGGATTTCAAGTATATAGCAGAGCCCAGCATGCACTCAATGCCTGCAGTGACTTTGTCTCCAAATGGTGAGTCAGTGCACAATGTGCTCCTAAATGAGAGCCCAAGACACAGGGTAATTGCTGGGTTCCTAAGACCTTCAGCCACTCCCTTTCAGAGGAAGTTTGTCACAGAGTAAGGAAATCTTTTCAATATTAGAAATTAGTATTGGTTTTCATGTGTGAGACACCTCACTCTCATTTTGAAAAAAATTATGAAAACGGAAAAAAGATTTACAACTAATATTGACTGAGCATCTAAGAATTTCTGGTAATCGAGTTCATTTTTTTTTAAATAGTCCTTCTAGCACAATGAGATTCAATAAATCATTTAATAAGCTCTTTTCTTTCAAAGAGATAGGAAATTTTGGTCTGATTCTCCGCAATGAAGACACCTTAGCAATTCGCTATAAAAGGTTTTCTCAAGCAAAAATAAAAAAGATAAATCTACCCAATGTTGTTTCCTATCTAATAATCCATTGCATCCAAGTACAAGTGCTGCAGATATACTGACAATATACTAATATAATTATAGCTCTACGTGAGATGTTAAAGCGACAGATCTGAAGGTTGGGGACCATTGTCTTTGAAGTGACTGTTATCTCACATAGCTACTGAAAGTGTGAAATAAGGATGAGGAGGCAAGAAAGAGTTTGCTCCTCCTTCTGAGTATCTGATTGGTGACAGTTGCCAAGTGCCTTATCATTCTTAGGAGGAGTGCAATCTAACTGGATCCTCCTTTGATAATCACTAAATTATACTTTGTTACTGTACATATACATTTCATGTAGTATTTTGTTTGTTTGTTTGTTTGTTTTGACTATATTGGGGTTTGAACTCAGAGATGAGTGCTTGCTTAAGCAGGCTTGAGCCATACCTCCAGACATGTAATGTGTTTTTAAACAAATCTTATAAATATTGTGCCCATCTTGAACAAGGCCATTTGCTCACTTGGGCAATGTTAGGACTGTTCCCTTAGTAATGTTTTAAGGCTTTAATGACTCCTAGGAGGATAAGAGCAGTATGCCCTTTTTAAAAAAAAAAAAAAAGTTTCCATAATTTTGTTAACATATGTCTCTTTTTGGTGCACTTTTATTTGATAATCCTAGGTTTTCTCACCAGAGTTAATCTTTCTTTATTTCATACTTACGACAGGTAGGTCTCTTTCTTCTCATAGTTATGTTCATAGTTCTGTTGTCTATACTTACAAATTATTCCTACTTCATGTATTTTAACTTAGTTCTGTTAACACTAAACTTGAAATTTCTCTACTTCCTTATTTTTAAAAAAGCTTTTATATGAAGAGTACTCAATGATAATAGGATTATAGAAGTAGAATCTATCACTTTAGATAAAAATACCTCTTGCCAATAACTTATTTATAACATTTTACAGATGGCATGGTGACTTTATTTTCTAATATTATAAAGTAGTTGAGAGCAAAAGAATAACTACAGTGAACATAGTTTGAATAAATAGGATTTTTTTATATTTTTCATTCTTTCTCTAAAATAACTTATTTATTGAACTTTATAGGAAAATGGCTAGCGTGCCAATCAATGGACAATCAAATCTTAATTTTTGGAGCACAAAATAGATTCAGATTAAATAAGAAAAAAATATTTAAGGGCCATATGGTAGCAGGCTATGCTTGTCAGGTGGACTTTTCACCAGACATGAGGTAAGTTTAAATCTTCTGTTCTCATATTCAAATATAATGACAATGATATAAACTGTTGTACAAATAATAACATTTCACAAACTGTGAAGAACTATGTAATCTGTTAAAATGACAAATACAGAGTCAAGAACAAGTTATGGCAATTATATTTTGCTTTTCTTTAGGTTTTTCAGTATATCTCCTATATTACTTGGGCCTATGCCCTTTAGCTACCTGACAAACCCCTATTCATATCAGCGATGCTTTTTTTCTCTTTGCTTTGCTAAGCAAAGCTATAGCTCTATATTACTATGATTAAATGTACACCAGAAGAATTCTATATCACAGTGTTGAAAGTAGCATCTTCCTAAAGCTTGTGTATGCTGAAAACGGAAATCCAGCTTTTGAATATTTCTAGGTCACACTGGATTTGTGAAGAGTGTCTTGCTAAGTCTTGCTAAGAGTGAAATTCCTCATTCATTTCCCCATTCCTTTTACATAAGTAAAAGGAATTCAGAAATCCCTGTAGCTTTATATGTTTAGCCTGGTAATAAGATCTTAGACTCCTACCTCTGATTCAGTCTTATTTGTATTCAAAGAATACTGAAGGCAAAAAATAGAAGGTGGTAAAGTTCACTGCAATGCAGCGTGTCTAATGTGTTCACTAGCTATCTGTGAAAACTGTTTCCTCTGCTTGATTTCTGAAAGTCCGGAGACTAACTGTGATCCCTCATTCATTATGGCCCCTGGGACTGCCATCTTCCCTTTTAAAAATAATTTTCTTCTCTGAGATTGGTAGTTCAGTGAGGAGGTTTTTTGTAGAAGTTCAAGTTATTGACTACTCCATATTCTGCCTTATTATTCTGAGTATTGTACAGTCGCATTGATTTTTTTATGTTACTGTGAAAAGGTAGATCCATCTCTGTTCTTCATCCTCTTTACCAGCTTCAGGTGTTTGAATAATTTGGATTTATTGTCCTTCTATCATAGCTATGTGATTTCAGGAGATGGAAATGGAAAATTGAACATTTGGGACTGGAAGACCACAAAACTCTACAGCCGATTTAAAGCTCACGATAAAGTGTGCATAGGTGCAGTGTGGCACCCACATGAGACATCTAAGGTCATCACATGCGGTTGGGATGGTCTCATTAAACTGTGGGACTAATCGGATTAGTCCTTTAACTATCTAGCATCATTTGTGATCCAATGTCATATTTAACTATATTTAATTATTCAGTGTGTTGAATGGCAACTTGATTTATAGCTCGTTTTCCTTCTATGACCTTATGAAGTTGACCCATTATTTGAAGAAAAAAAGCTTTGTAAATTTGCCTCCTGTAATTTCATTGGCAACTTCATTTTGTTCTTTATCAATGTTATTTATGCAATGAATGACCATTGGCTTTCTGTTTGACAAGTAGTTAGCAAGCAGTTTGCCCCATGATATTACTAAAAGGAATGACAGATGACCCTCTTTGGGGGTCAAGAAAGACCCTTCCAAAGGAGGTCCTAGAGGAAGTAGTAGAATTAATGACTCAGAAAGGCACCATTTACTTGCCGGTTCAACCTTAAGGGCAGTAAAGAACAGGGATGATATAATTTAATTTATAATGAGAATATCCACAATTGCCATTCCCATTATTTTTGGTAGGTCAGGTTCTAATTTTTTTGGCTTCATGAGTTCCAATTTTTATGACATACATTGTATATTTTTAGTTGCAAATCAGTAACCTTTGACTGCAGCATTCCTCTAATAATAATTAAACAATGTAAAATTAAAACTCAGTCCAGAATTCTTTCCTTGACTTTCTTCCTGACCAGTAAAGACAGGAAACAAAGAATTACATTATTTCTGAAGATGGAACTCAAGAGAATGAGCCAAGGCTTTGAATTTTATTGATAAGTCACTGTTAATAAGAACCTGGCTATACTCTCAAAAATCAGGAACTCCTACGTCATTGCTTCACCAAGGTTGCTACTGAAAACTTCCTCATAGAAGCCAGGGTTTGAAGGCATAGTTCCAAAACGTCAACTTGTAATTTCTTGGAAGTCCTGGGTTTTATTTTTAAATTAATCTGATTATTTCTTGTAAATACAAACAACTTTTTACGACTGTAAAAAATGAACCTTCTTTCCAGATCTTAGGAAACAATTGACACTAAAGGAAAATGTCTAGAGTTCCCCAGTTTGAGAAGCAGTGACCATGGTAAAAACTAATAATAATAATAATTTTAAAACTTCAGATTATGAAATCAAGACAGCCTCTTGAATATAGTAGCAAATAGCACTTTAGTTTGACAAGCCATTTCTCCTGCTTTATAAGTCTATATTAGATGTTTGAATGTGGTTTGAAATATTTCAGTACCATGCTGAAAAACATTGGTTGATAACTACTCAGAGTACTGTCTTGGAGAGCAAAGTCATGTTGAATGTTGATAACCTACAAGCATTAAGCTCTGAGTCTTGTGCTATTTAGCCGTACAGGCTCCTTGCCCTGTGGGAGCTTCCGTCTTTAAAATTTTACCTTTAAAAAGGCCTGGTGAGTTAGGCCTTGTAGCCACTTATAAAGCTATTTCAAAGAACACAGGAAAAGAATAAAAGTAAACATGCATGGTTTTGAAACACAGGCACTCAAAGAAATAGTTGTACTGCCTAGCTCCTGCCACTTCTATGCCTGCCAGAAAGGGTGGCATGAAAGAGGAAAGAATTCCGACAATACCTTTCTTTAGTCCCAACCACTGGCTTTTAACAACTGTGAATTTTTAAATGCAATGGGACAAAAAGAATCCTACATGTAAGCTATTATTCAGCACCAGTGTTGTATATGTTATGAATCATTTCTAAATCTGAATTTATTTTATTGTGTTTTTGACTGTTTCTAAGCTAAGTAGCTGTATATAAAAGTTTCCTCTTTTTTTAAAAGATCCTATTTTTGAATAAAGCATTTTTTATATAAAATCTTGTTGGAATGTTTATTATAAACTTTCTTTTAAGTCATAAGTCTATTGAGACACCAAATCAAACCATTTACAGACTTAAATGGATCCTATGGAAAGAAATGATGATTTAGAGGTGGGTGTGACATGTTTTGTTATGTCAGTGGGTTTATTGTAATTAAATGGTAAAATACAAGACAATACTCCCAAAGCATTTGGTGATGCACTAAAGCCGTAGTTACTACCATTTTAGAGTACATAATTAATTGGGGCTCTTTTCTAACATAAAAACATCCTAGGATTATATTGTTACTGGATATAAGCGGTTACCATCTGGCTCCTCTTCTCATTGCCACCTTCTTGTCACACCCATGACAAACTTCCTTTCTAAAAGTTAGAGTGAAAGTGATACTTTAGTGTAAGATTTAATTGAATTCATTTGTTTTGTTTTGTTTTTAATTTGGGGAGTTACTAAGCATGGAACTCAGGGCCTCACACTTGCTAAACAAGCACTGTACAGGCCCAGCGCTTTTGCTTTTTGTTTATTTTTCAGACAGGTTCTCTAACTTTGCCTAGCCAGACCATGATCCTCCTACCTCCGCTTCCCAAGTAACTGGGATTACAGGTGTGCACCACCATGCCCAGCCCTTAATTGAATGAATATTTAAATATTGTAACATAAGCTAGGAATATTTTATCCTCAATAGCCAGTGTTAAGATAAAGAACAGAGAGTAGTGTCAAACAGGCTTATTCCTAGGTAGAAACAGAAAGTGGTTCTGAGCACACATTGTGGGACTGGCTGATACTGTTAGCATGTTTATAAACTACCTAAAAGAAAACTGACAGTAACCCTTGAATGGCAGCTTTAAAAATCACAGCACCAGCAATAATTGCAGAGGCTCCTGAAGGTCAGCATGGATCGAACTACCTTACAGAATCACCTAAGGATTTGGTGCTTACCAACGTGTAAGATATAAACAGTAGAAAGTAGTGGATAGTTCGGAGAGCCATAATGAATTCCAGTTTGGGGAAAGAAACATGAATTGGCATCCAGGTCCCAGTGTCCATCAGTAGCCTTGAATGTGGGTCTCAACATGAGATGGGGAATACATCCGTATTTCCTCCAAGGTGCATGTTCACATTTTGACATCTGACTAAAATCAGCAATATGTCATGGTTTAATTGGCAGCATTCATTCTTTCTTAGTGGATCATAAAAAATTGACGAAATGCAGTATAAATAAAGCAAGTATTACAGGTGCTTGGTAAAGAAATAATCCTTGGTAAAGAAATAATCCAGTGAAAGGAAGGTGTCTACAATAATGGTTTGCTAAAAATTTGTGTTATTAAATGCACATTTGATCAGTGGGTAAAGAAACAGAATGTACTAACAAAATATTGCACTTAAGAGATTGCAATTATTAGAGAAATACACAATTATTATATCTAATTCTGGCCTCCCAAGTAAAAGTCAAAACTTTTGGCAAGATTGCACTAAAGATGAGAATGACTGAGGTGGAATCCCAAATTTATCTTGGGCATTGAGAAATTTAGACTCTTTGGAATAGTTAAAAATCAAAGAAAAACTAGTCAAAAATACATCTGCATACAGATGTGTGCATATATATTATATACTGATAAATACACCTTCCATTTGCACAGTCACTTCAATAATTGTGGAAACAACTTTTTCAACCTAAACACTACAACTTTATCTGGAACTTCAAGAAAAAGAAGTGACAGACTTGCAGCTAGAGCCCTTGGAATGGCTTCGTTTTTAGTGACAGTGAACCGAGATAGCTCCTTTGATTCCACAGCATCCTACACCTGCATAGCTGTCTTCAAATGACGTTTTTAGCTCCACAGTCCCTATTTTTCAACCTGCAGCATTTTAGATCTGAGGAACTAACTCAGATCTCAAGCATTTTTAAATGTTATGTTCCAGTACACTGCTGTGCAATAGAAATACATGGGTCACATATGTAATTTTAGCTTTGCTAATAGGTTAACAAAATGGGGGACTAATCTTGATGTATTTTATTTAAATAATATACCCAAATTTTTATTTCAACATATCCTCAATTTTAAAAATTAATATTACACCCTTTTTTCATCCTGAGACTTAGATCTGACAGCACAGCAATCTCAATTCAGATACTGAATTTTCATCAAAAAATTTTCTTTGATTCAGAGTAGATTTACCTACCAAGTTGTTCCAAGCGCACTTAAAGTGTTTTCCAAGAACTGAATCAAATTTTTTAATTTTAGTAAGTGAAAAGTAGGCATCATTTAAAATTCAGTTCCTGGACTGGGGTTGGAATTCAGTGGAAAAGTACATGCTTAGTATGTTCAATTCCCAGCACCCCCAAAATTTAAAAATTTAAAAATTCAGGTCCTCAGCCACATTTTAAGTGCTCGATATCTTGTCTCTGCTGGCTACCATAGTGCACAGTATGGTCCTGCTTCTACTTTTTATGTAAGAATGGTTCAGATATTCAATTTCAAATAGTTCCAATAAGGAATTTAAATGTTTATATTTTAGTGTGCTATATTTTGGGTAGTTTCCTCGGCTCTGTTGTCCAGTTCGCCTCTGGGTCTCCAGCTGTGCCTAATCTGCTGTCTAATCCAGATTAAATTTCTCATTTCAGCAACTTTTCCTTTTCTAAGAGGTCTATTTGTACTTCCTTGTCCTTTTTCATAGTGTCTTGTTTTCTTAAGTTTCTGTGTAGTCTTTTTGCCTTCAGTCTTGGTAAACAGTGTATATTATACTTTCTTTAAGAAGGTTATGCAAGAGCTGGTGGAGCAGCTTGAGTGGCAGAGCACCTGCATAGCAACTGTGAGGGCCTGAGTTCAAACACCAGTACCACCAAAAAAACTATTGCTCAGTTACCGCAAGTACTTGGGCTGAAAATTCCAGTGTTTATCGTGTCTGCTAACTCTGGATCTCATAGCCCATCATTTCCCTATGTAGTTTTATTAGGAGCTCATCTTACGTGGGTCTTATTTTTCTGAGAAAATTCTCTGGATTCTAGGTCGATGACAAATCCCTTCAGAGTGGTTTTGTATCTGCTTCTGCCATGTACCTCTGCAGTGTCACCCCATACAACCAGGTTTTTATCAGTTTCTCAGCTTATGGTTTTGCTTACCAGGTGCTTAAGATAAGTTTAGCTACCAAACTACTTTCATGGTCCTGAAGTTACAGTTTCTCATGAAAAACTTTTATTTGCACTCAGATACAGCAGAGATTAAGCTTCCTTGTGCTGGTGGGTGTGAAGGTTTTTGGTCATTTTCTCATTGAGGTCATAGCCCTCTCAGGGTCTGATCCCCCAACACACACGCCAGGCTTTATCACTTATGCTCTCTCCCTCTAGCCATTACTGTTACACTGAAGTCCTAGGGCAACTGCACTGTAAGTTCCTGCTCTGCCTCTCGCTCAAGGCTCCCTCTG